CACTCTGATACCACCAAAATCTGAAGATCAAATTATAAGATTTCTCCGATCATAAATCTCCAATAAAATCTCCAAATACAAGATCATGATTCATATCTAAAATTTATATCCAATTACAATATGGCTAGCCTTTTAACTCGTCACTTCCCGTGATTTCCCCATCCTCAGTTTCATTTCCTGAAATGGTGGACAAGGAAAACTATGAGATAAACTCAGTAAGTAAATATGGAGTGCCCCTTATCAAACTTAAAGCATGCCAACAAGTACAATCACGAAAACAGATACAGTACGGGCACGAAATAGACGTCTCCCCTATAGGTCACGGCCAGTGTTATAAACCTCCCACTGGCGGGCTACAGAAATTACTAGTGTTTAACCCCCACTAGTAGGGTTACAGAAACGAACCGGTTCTATCAGTAACATGTCGACATGTGCTAGCGTTTATAAACCTCCCACTAGCGGGCACACGAATAACATGACCACATCGGAGACAAAACAGGCAAAAGTTAACAGGAAAATCACAATTCACAATCACTTTCAAATCATCAGGACAATCACTTAAATTTCAAGTAGGCATGCTCAATTTAGTGAAAAGCATAAAACATTTCACTTCAAATCAGTCATGTTCGTGTAAAACGGGTTTAGTCCCGCCACCACTTCAAAAACAAATCAAAACATGCTTTTAAAATCAAAGGGCGTTACCATAATTTACTTACCTCACTCGCATAAAACCAAGCACTCAATTCACGCACTAACTGACAGAACGATCGGGAACCTAATCAAAACACCTCAGAATTAATACCGGACTATCACAAATTCACATTGAACACTTCATTAGGATCATTCCTAATCACAATGCTATTCCTATCAATCTCCACATTATCAGATATCTCCAAATTCGTTCTTATATCACAAACTAATCATTTAAATCCCCGTTAACTGTTGGCCCTCGGGGCGTGAACAGTAATATATGAACAGTACCCGTGAACAGTACCCGTGAACAGTGCCACGACGTGAACAGTAACTGCACTCTCCAAAATTGGCCAAACCACTAGCTAATTCACGGGTTTTCTCTCCAAAAATCACAACAGACAATTAACACTCAATTCATGTTGTTGTCCGTGAATTGGAGAATTTTGTATATGTGTGTTATGTACATAAAGATAAATGCACAATATGATTTTTGTGCTCAATTTCAGATAGAAGAAAAATAAGATTAAATAAATAAATAAGATTTCCTTATGGGATTAATGGCTAACAATAGGAGGGTTTAAATATTAAGAATAAAATTGAGATGTCTGGTTATATGGTTATTAATTCTGGAATATTTTGGTTAGGTTCTTGATTATTCTATCACCCTAGCACTTGGAGTGAGTTTTCTATGTTATGTCACTGAGGTAAGTAAATTATGGTAACGCCCATCAATTTCAAAGTAAAAGCATGTTTTAAATTGTTTTTGAGATGGTGGCAAGGTTTAAATTGATTTTATTAGCACCAAGCATAATTGGTTTGAAATGGAATTATTATCATTTGCATTAGGTAGAGCATGCTTACTTGGAGTTTACTTAATTGCCCTGATGATTTGAAAATTTTTGTAAATTATGATTTTTCCTATTGAATCCATGCCCACATGGAATTTTTTCGGTTCATTCTTGAAATTTGAGATTGATTGTGAATTACAGATTTTTCCTATAAATCCTGCATGGTTTTGTCTCTAGTATAGTCATGATTACTGATTATTGATTACTGACGCCCGCTCATGGGAGCTTGCAAACGCTAGCACATGTCAACATGTTTACCGATAAGATCGGTTCATTCTGTAATCTTGCCAATGGGATAATACATTGGTTATTATTGATGCCTGCCAATGGGCTAATACATTGGTTATTATTCACGCCAGCCAGTGGGAGTTGTTAAACACTGGTCATGACTTATAGATGAGACTACTACTGAATCTTGTTTTGCATTAACAATTTATCATTGAATGTTTTGTTATGTTAAACTGTTTATCAGGCATGCTTAAATTTTACTCATAGGCTATCCGTATTTTTACTTTCTAAGATATTTTATCTCATAGTTTTCCTTGTCCACCATTTCAAGAAGTGAGACCCGAGGCACGGTTAACCAAGGGGAGTGACGAGCTAGACGGCTAGTTAGTATTTTGGACTTAGATCCTTTTGGGCTTAGGCCGTTAGCCACACATGCTTGTCATAGATATGAAATGATAAATCTTTTTTTTTTTTTTTGTATATTGAGTTTCCTTTGGTTATAGCCATGACTGTCTTATAAACTTTGTACATCTTGACTAGCACATTTTTAGTAATTGAAAGCTAGATGTTAACCGAGTTTTCATATTTAAGTTATGTAAATTGGTAATTATGAACACAGTAAGTTCCGAGCCTTGTGCATTTGTGAGACCCGTTCACGAGTGCACGACATCTGTTTCGCTTTTGGTTTTAGGGCGTGACAGGAAAAAAATAAAATTTTCTACTACATATATTCAGACCAACAATACTCCAAATGTTACATTTCCTTTTTATTAAATATATTTTTCATAATTCTATGTTTTGTTTTTTTGTTTTTTTTTTTTTTAAATAAGCCCTAACATTTCAGACCAATATTGATCTGAAAATACTTTCATGGTATTGACATAGAAGGACCAAATTTTTTTCATTTTTCTAAACAAGCCTGCAAATTTTCATACCAATATTGGTTTGAAAATAGTTTCTACATACTGACACATAAGGACCTAATTTGTTTACTTTTCTATGCAAGGTAAGTATGGTTCAAACCATTTTTGGTTTGAAATGAATTTAAATATTCAAACCGATTCAAACCGATTTTGGTTTGAATTATGGTTACTTCTAGTCCAAATTTTGGCCATTATACAGACGAAAGCTAGCTCGAAAATTATCTTTATTTAGGCTGAAATTTTGTTGGTTTGAAATTATTTTTATTCAGACCAAAGTTTTTTCAAACCAATATTCCAGATCAATAATGGTTAGAATATTTAAATTTAGATCAAATTCCAATTTTTTCAAACCAATTTTTTGGTCCAAAAAATAGCTGTTTCCAATAATGGATATTTGTTAGGTTTAACCATTAGACTAAAACTTAAATACAGTTGATTTAACTAATTTTTACATTTTATATGCATGATTGTATCTTTAGGTTTGTCTATCTCTAATTTTATATTAGAAAATAATTATTTTTAATAAGTATATTGTGTAATATATTGAATTAGAAGATATATCAATCAATATCTAAAAAAATTACATATGATAGATTTTTATTTTATATTTTGGACTACGTAATGAGAAAACTAATTTTTATATCTGTTCATCATATACTTCGCGACATAATTATATTCTATTACACTACATCTTTCCACATAGCCAAGCACAATAGTATCCATTTTGATAACTTGGCCAAGAATGTGTGCAGGTCATGAATCTTATTTTCACATTTTTCATCTCACCAGTATGGTCTTCCAAAGCTATCAATACAAGGCTTGACATTGACATAAACCATAGCAACTTGGTTGGTCAATGTGAAGCTCAAAGGTTGCTTATCTACATTAAGAGAGTCTTCATTGTGCTAGAATTTGACAATAGAGCCAACTAGGTTAGCTAGATACTTTTGTACTTGAGATTATGCTTATATATATTATAACATTTTTTTTTTTGAACATTAACCATTATTTTGTTGGCATATGTTAAATATTGATAAAATCGTTAGAATGGTTCACTGCATCACAATGTAATAGCAGCTATTAGTGAGAATTGTATGATACAAATTCAATTGCACCATTCTTAAATCATCTACTAGTCATATACATCATTGAGTTAGGACATTAATTGATGTAAAGACTAATGCATGGTAATCCTTTTCTAGGGCACAAGATCTTTCTCATAAAGTCATGAATGACATGTGAATACTAATAGAAAGTAAGTTCACTAGAGAGCTCTAGGTACAAGTATGTGTCTTTAGTTACTTCTTATTTATGGTGCCAATGTAAGTGATCCTTTGACCTTGAGATCATCATTATTCTATGTTAGGCCTCATGTACTTTAATGCCATTAAAAACAACTATTGCAAGAGGTTGTGAATAATATAGCTATTGTGCATCATGAATAGCATAGGAATGGTGAGCAAATCAAGATAGGATTCATCTCTCTTGAATTAATGAGAGCAGATATCTCTAGGCATTTTTATTGAGATGAGACTACTTGAAAGTATAGGGTCATCACATGAATGAAAGAGTTCATTCAAGAAGTATGTCTATCTTGACAATCAAAGAAAATGATATCAAGCTCTAATGATGATAACACATATTATGCATCATGCTTGATTGAGATATTAGTGATGAAGTGATTGAATTACATAAGTATATCAATTATAGGAGGGTTTATTGCAACCAATTACTTTTCTATCACTTTGGGTGGCCATAATTTATTGCTAGATACTGCTCTTCACTTGTGAGGCACACTCACTATCAATGTGATAAAAACTTAAGAGGGATTTTTATAATCCAAGTTTATGGGAAAATGATTAATTTTTGTGAAAATAATACTTTCACAAGAGAAATAGTTTAATCAAGTTTCAAAAATAAAATGTTAAAAAGGATTAAATTCATTTAATCTGAGTTAGTTCAAGATTGGATTGGTGCAAGTGTTAAAAATGGAAAAATCCAAGGCCAATCCCATGGAAGCCTATGGGGTCACAAGGCCAACTAACCTAGCCCATTGGGACTAAGGCACGTGGCAAGGGCATGGTGAAAGACAAGGACCTACACTACTAGTCCATGTTGCTTCTAGTCCAACATGGACTAGGTTGTGTGGCACCTCCTTAAAGAGGAAGAAAAGTTTTTTTTTCCTAGTTTTCTACTTTGAACTAGAGACGACATTTAATTAAATAATGTAATTCTAATTGGATTAGAATTACTATTGTCTTTCTATTTTCTATTAGTATATATAGGAGTAGAAAATGAATTGCATTAGTTACTTCATTGTAGCCTTAGGCACTCAAATAATAGAACCACTACCAAAGAGAAGCAAACAACTTTATTTTCTCATGCTAGCACTAGAGATATCTTGCCTTCTCCTATTCCCAAAGGCTTATATGTGGATCATCATTAGAAGAGTTTTACCTTTAAACTATATGCATTAGGCAATGTACGTAGTGGGTTTTAGAGTTATGCACCAATGAGGCACATTAAGGTATTGTCTCTAAAATTCCCTTAACTACTAATGGCTCAATAATAATCCTAGGCTGGTTTGAAGAGGATAATTTTTTGCTTGTGCACCATCCTCTAAAAACTCGATGGTTGTATCAAATTAAGGGCCTGTTTGGTGCAGCTTGTTAAAGCTTTTGCTTTTTTTTTTACTGTTCATGAGTGATAAGTTTAAATTTTTCTTGGAGGAAAAATTTAAAAGTTGCTTTTAGAGATAGAAAAAAGTGAGTAAAAAGTGAATAAAAAGGAAGTTTATAAAAATCTTGAATTTTAAAAAAGTAAGTTTTTAGGAAGGAAATTTAAACTTATGAAACATAAATAGTGTCAAAAAGCCGAAGCACTTGGAAAGTTGCATCAAAAGAACCCTAAGTTAAGAGATACCGGGATTAGGGGTTCTCAAATGTGATATGTGGTGATGCTATAACTCTTACCTTAACATTGCTATAAGTACAGTGGTTGGATGAGTTGAAAGGTTGTTGAAAATTCCCAATGGGCTTCTTAGAAAAAATTCATTAAGGAAGTTGAAGCTTGATCAAATTAAATTAATATATTTTCAAATTTCTTGGTCACATAATACATATAATTCCATATTAGAGTAATTCTCCTTATAATAATACTTAACAATACTCTAATCTATATATATAATGCTACCCTATGCATTAAATAGGGTATACATTTATATATATTGTAATACCCCAAAATTTTGAGTATTATGTATAATTAATTAATTAATTTAACTGTGTGATTAAATTGACATCCTTAAATAAAAAATTTGAATTTTATTGTTAACTCTTGCATGGTTTTGTCTCCAATATGGTCATGAATTTTATTATCTTGTCAGTGAGAGTTAAACACTGGCACATGTCAACATGTATTTCTATAGAGCCGGTTCATCCAGCTAGTGTAAGAGTACATTAGTATTTTCTGTTATCCAGCCAATTGGGAGAGTACACTATGACTAATTGAGGAGACCACTAAATAGATTTCAATATGCATAAATGATTTATAACTGTGATTTTCTTCGTGTTTGAAATTAAAATGTTTACTTGGCATGCTTTAAAATTTTAGTGAGGGCTATCCATATTTTATTTATTGAGTTGTCTCACTAGTTTTTCCTTGTCCACCATTTCAGGTTGTAAGGACCAAGACATGGGAAACCAAGGGGAGTGACGAACTAAAAGGCTAGCTATTGTATTTTTTATGTAGATTTTGAGTTTTAGATTATTTTTTGTATGCTAGATTTTATTTTGAAACATTGACCTAAGTTATGTGGACTGTTAGGAATGAATTTAGCAAGTTTCGAGCTTTGTACATTTGTGGGATCCTATTACAAGTGTACGATGTTTGTTTCACTCTCAGTTTTGGGGCGTGACAGATTTTGTAATATCAAAGCCTAAGTTTAACTAAATACCTAGGGCTAATTTAGAACTTGGTTAGATATGGATTTTAGAACCATGGTCAGACGAGTGATGGGGTTTTACAAAGGACAATTCTAATTCTTATTCCATAAATTTTCCTGATCCAGTTTGACTAAATGGTATTCTTATTAGTTCCCCTTACCATCCTTAATATGTGTAGAATCTTGAAATTTATCTTGCTCATTATGCTCTTAAGACATTGTTTTGAAACTTGGTCTTTTGTGATAAATTGCACTTGTTCGGAGTTGTTACCTGAATAGAAATTTATTTGATGGGACTCTTGATACCTATTGAAATTGCTTGAGACTCTTGAAATCCGTCTTGAACCCTTTCTTGAGATTGCTTAGTACTTGTTCTTGAAATTGAAATCCAAATATGGATTATGATTATTGAAATCCTCATTATCTTGAGACTTGTCTGAAACTATTTCTTGCATTGTGCTTGGAATTGATTCTTGAACCTTGCTTGGAGTAAATTCATGTTTGCATTCTATTCTTGAAAATTGATTGATACTTGGTTTTTGGAACCTATTCTGAATTGTCCTTGAAAACTATTCTTGTTTTGACACTTGCTCTTGCTCAAATTTTGAATACTACACTTGCTCAAATCTTGAATACTGTGCTAGTTCATGTTTCAGTATACCAATATACCTATTGATCTTTTTGATTTTTAAGTTTCTTATGGACACTTCTTTAGAAGGGGTGATGATTACTAGAAAATATCTATAGAAGCATCCTAATTCCTATCTCTTGCAAGTGTTAATCTCTATATTCTTGATGTCTTAGTTTTGAGTTGACTCTAGGAACGATTTGATTGTAAATCTGCTTAGCCTCCATGGGTTACCATGTGAAAGGGGTGGTCTTTAAAATACCTGATGCCCTAAAGTTCTATTTCAAGAGAAATGGTTCTTTTATCTGGCTACTCTGATTCTTGTTTTGCTATTTAATTAAAAGACATTAATCTTCTAAGTATCTTGATCCAAACTATTAAAATTTTTGTTAATTAATTCTAGTTATTTGAGATGCTAGATCTTGATGTCCTGGTTATATCTACTCTTGAATCTTTGTTCTCGTTGGCATTATTGAAACCTTCTTGTGGGCCTAGTTTTTGAATCCTATTGCTTATTTCATGGTTAATTCTTTCCTCTTGATTTTGATTACTTAGTTAAACCTGATTCTGATTCTTGGCTAATATCATTTTGTAGCTAAATTTTTGAGGCATTCTGCCTTGCATTCTTCTGTTCTAATATTCGTCCAAGCATTCATAATTGCCCCTAATTTTGTTTTGATGGCTATTTTTGAAATTCTTACACGTCTTTTGATGGGTCTAGTTCTTAACTCTTGTTAATTGCTAAAATCTGTCTCTTGATTCTAGTTGCCTTGTTAAACATGATCTTGCTTATTGGTTAACTTTGTCTTGTGTCGAAATTTATAAGGCATACTTGCATTCATTCGTTCATGATCCCATACACCCATTTGATGTTTAATCATTTTTTATAGGGTTCAAAGTTTTAGTTATACTCATCTTAAATCTGTGCCATGTTGGTGTGGGTCATACCCATCTATTAGTTATCATCTGATTATGCCAGGACATTAGATCTTGCTAAAATCCTTAACTTCAAAATTGTCGACCATGTATCTTGAATTGATTTCCTTGTTGGCATGATGGCAAAGGGATCCTCCTAAGGCATTCAAGAGAGTAACCGATGTGAGAAAAGTATATTTTAAGCAAAGGTACTTATCTTGAAAAGGTAAGATTGATGGGCCTTATTATTACTATTTTTGTCATTCTTCTGCTCAACCATTGGTTTGATTCTATTGATATTTCTGTGGCTCCCTTGATTTGATTTGATCTTATTTTTCCTCGATCTTCCTAGACTCTCGATTTAAGTTATATCCTTGAGCATATCTTTGCTAACCAAATTTTATTGCAACAATGGTGAAAACTTTCCACATGGTTTTTTTCTAAAATGTTTTCCGTGATTTTCATTAGTGCTCTCAAGAATATTGAGCTATTGTTTCACAAAGTTAGCCGTTGTATTGGAGGCCAAGATTTAGGTCTCAATTTGACCAATGTGTCAAAATTCTTTCCATGCCATTCCTTGCCAGCTTATCTTTATTTTGGGTTCATATCACAGTTCATGGTATTGTTCTTTTGTAGCTTTGACACTATTCATTTTTGCTCTTCGTGTCCTTTGTAGCACCCTAGCCCTTAGAAGTTTGCTTAGCGAATTAGTTTCTTGGTTATTCCCAATAAGTAGCTAGTGTTTCACTTTTAAGACTAGTTGCCATTTGACATTAAAGTTGCGTAGTGGGAGAGTAATAGGCCATGTTCTATTCGTAAGAAAGTTAGTGGGGTAGCTTATAAATTAGAGGTTGCCAAAGAACCTAATAGGTTCTCAAGTTGTTTGCATATATATATATATATATATGCTTGGAGTTGTATTCAAATCCTAATTAAGTGATTTATTCTGCAATGCAATAGCCATATGATGGTTTGTCATATGATGGGCACTTGTTCGTCTTAAATTGCGTGAAGCCATTCACCACTCTAGATGATCCTAGATTTGAGTTTTGAGGACAAAACTCCTTTTAAGGAGGGGTGGATGTATTACCCCAAAATTTTGAGTATTATGTATAATTAATTAATTAATTTAAGTGTGAGCTGACTAATATGAAAGGGGACTTTATTGGGGGACCAAGTTGTCTCATTCTTCAATCTTGGGGATGTTGATAAAAAAAAAAGGGGGTTGGACGAACATAATAAAAGGCAAAGGAAAACCTAAATTTCCTTTTCTATTTTCTTTCTTCTTTTTCAAGTTCTTCTTCTTTTTTTGGTTTTCCTCTCCTCTTTCGCACTAAATTCAAAACCCTTGAAGCCATTAACCTCCTAAGCTCTATTTGATGCTGTTTCTTCTCATCAAAATCACTACTTTCCTTATCCGTGACTTGTAGGCTCAGTGGGTGCTGCTTCTGCAAAATTTTAATTTCAAATCACCTCAAGCACCTTGACTTCTTGAATTTCTCGTTTCTTGTATACCTACAAGGAGAGGTAAGCAAATTTGTGGTAATACCCTTGGATTTTAAGGTAAAAGCTTTAAAAGCATATTTTAAAATGTTTTTGAGATAGTGGTGGGATCTAACTCGATTTTTTATTAACACATGAGCATGACTAATTTGAAAGGAAAGTTGTTATTATTTTTATTGATCTGAGCATGCTTACATGCAGTTTTCTTATTTATTCTATAAATCTAAAATTGGTTTGTGAATTTTGAATTTTATTGTTAACTTCTGCATGGTTTTGTCTCCAATATGGTCATGAATTTTATTACCTTGCAGTGGGAGTTAAACACTAGCACATGTCGACATGTATTTCTATGGAGTCGGTTCATCCAGCTAGTGGGAGAGTACATTGGTATTTTCTACTATTCAGCCAGTTAAGAGAGTACATTGGTCATGACTAATTGAGGTGACCACTAAATAGATTTTAATATGCATAAATGATTTATAACTATGATTTTCTTCCTGTTTGAAATTAAAATGTTTACTTAGCTTGCTTTAAAATTTTAATGAGAGCTATCCATATTTGACTTATTGAGTTGTCTCACTAGTTTTTCCTTGTCCACCATTTCGGGCGGTAAGGACCAAGACATGGGAAACCAAGGGGAATGACAAGCTAAAAGGCTAGCTATTGTATTTTGGATGTAGATTTTGAGTTTTAGATTATTCTTTGTAAGCTAGATTTTATTTTAAAATATTGATCTAAGTTATGTGGACTGTTAGTAAATAATTTAGTAAGTTCCGAGGCTTATGCATTTGTGAGATCCTCTCACAAGTGTACAACATTTATTTCACTCCCGGTTTTGGGGCGTGACATATATAATCTACAATAATATATAATATATTTTTATTTATTATTTATTATATAATTTAATATATAATTATATAATATAAATAAAAAGTTAAGACTAACTAATTTCTCAACGAAGATAATTTAGATGAATAGTATCCTCAAACATTAATTAAGTCTTAAAATTTTTCATTTAATTTTAATTATAAAAAAATAAATTATGTAAATAAATTTATTTAATAATATGAGTTCAACTTTTTTATCTTCTTATATTCTTTATTTTCTCCTTCTTATCTTTATATTCTTAATTATTTTATTCTTATTAGTTTTCATTGCATACAAAATGTAATGTAATACGTTAAAATAAAAGAAAATGAATAGATACCTAAAATTTATGAAGAATAAAAGTATAAGATTGTAATGCATAGCACAATAACTATTTTTGCATTATAATTTTTTCTAACCATTTTGTTTTCTTCTTCATGTGCAGTTGAAAAGTTTCAGTTTATTTTATAATGCATTGATTACACATTAAGTATTTTTATTTTTATTTTAAAAGAAAAATATACATTTTATTTAAAAAAAAAAAAAAAATTCAATAAATGCTAAATAGTATTTCTTCATGCTTGTTACGCCTCAAAACCAAAATCCGAGGATGTGGCAAATGCCGTACACTTGTGGGACGGGTCCCACAAGTGCACAAGGCTCGAAACTTATTCAAATCACAAAATCTCAAGAATAAAATCTACATTACAAAAGGATGATAAAATCTAAAACTTATATCCAATTAGAATGGCTAGTCTTCTACCTCGTCACTCCCCTTGGTTTCTCGTCCTCGATTTCGCTTCCTGAAATGGTGAACAAGGAAAACTATGAGATAAAATATCTCAGTAAGTAAATATATGGATAACCCTTGGTAAAAAAATTTAAGCATGACAGATAAACCATGTAAGCATAACAGAACTTTCAATGATAAACCATTCATGCACAATAAAATTCATCAGTAGTCTTCACCTGTAAGTCATGGCCAGTGTTTAACAAACTCCCACTGGCAGGCATCAGTAGTGGTACCAGTGTTTAACAACTCCCACTGGCAGGCGTCAGTAATAACCAATGTTTAACCCCATTGGCAAGGTTACAGAAGTACTAGTGTTTAACAAATTCCCACTGGCAGGCGTCAATAATGGTACTAGTGTTTAACAACTCCCACTGGCAGGTGTCAGTAATAACCAATGTATTGTCCCATTGGCAAGATAAACCGGTTCTATAAAAATACATGTCGACATGTGCTAGCATTTGCAAACTCCCACTAGCAGGCGTCAGTAATCATGACTATATCAGAGACAAAACCATGTAGAATTTACAGAAAATCCATAATTTCAAGAATAAACCGAAAATTTCATGTGGGCATACTCAACTCCAGAAAGACAATGAAATTCTCATTTTCATTCCAATCATGCTCAATTCCAGAAAATAATAATTTTCATAAAAATCATCACAATTTTCATTTCGGTTTAATTACACTCAGATACTGATAAAATCAATTTAAACTTTGTCACCATCTCAAAAACAATTTAAAACATGCTTTAAAATCGAAGGGTATTACCATAATTTACTTACCTCACTCACATAAGACAGAAAACTCATGTTCAACTTATGCTTATCAACACCTCACACATAATAAATCTGCAAAACCACCACCACCATTATCAACAAACTAATTGCCGCTGCTTCCTTCCTGTTCACATTACACCACACATCTATCACCATCCATGAACCAAACCAAAGCCTCATTGTTCCCTCCCAATTGGAACACGATATTCCTAGGGAAAAGAACATAACATTAACAAACAATCAATTTACAAGTTCAAGCATCTCCTAGAACAACCATTACCCCCATCAATGCCATATTTATTTCCTTATTATTATTTTTATTTCCAAGATTTGAGCACTAAATCAGATTGTGCATATATATCTATATATGCACACAAACACCTATACATAATTTTCCCACTCCCACGGACAAAGGAAATGGAAAAAAAACCGAGCAACAAGGCTTTTTATTCAAAATTTATCTTGGCAAAACAGAGGCTAAAACACACGGGATTTTCATATAAACATCACAACAATTAATCAAGCTAATTCTACCTTAATCAAGCTTAAAAAAATGGTTTAAAGCTGCTGCAATATTTCCCAATCTCACGAGCAGCACATGGAGGAACTGGACTATGCAAAGCAATAGCTAATTCATGGGATTTTTCATACAAAACCTCACATCAGCTAAATCAAGCCATTTCTACCTTAATTAAGCTTAATTATGCTCTAATTGCTACCGGAGTTCATCCCCATTTTTCAACAAATTTCAGACAATACAAGGAAATTCAAACAGCAGCTAAATGGGTGAAATTGGACTTAGAGAAGTCGTCACCATACCAGAAAATTCCGGCAAGCAGCACCAGGTCCGGCTGGGAAGGAAGCCGACGGGGAAAAGAAATGGAGGAACTCACGGCAACTACCAAATGCAAGAACCCACAACAAAATTAGAGTAACCCAAGCCAAATTAAGGGAGAAAAGATGAATTCCAAGGTTTTTGCTTACCCAAAATGATCGAAAATTTCACCCACCCAGCTACAGGGAGCTCGCGGCAGAGGGAAGAGAGCAGATCTGGAAAATTTTGGGTTTAATAGGTGTTCTAGAACAAGAAAAGGAGGAGAAATTTCCAAGCTTTACCGGTGTTCCCGGCCGGAGATGGGTGGCAGTAGCTGGGGAGCTTGTCGGGTTGCAGGGGGTCGGGAGGAAGAAGAAGAGCAAGATACGCGGGTCTGATGAGGAAGGAAAGAAAGAAAGAAAAAAAAGAAAAAGAAAAAGCAGCTGATCCTTATCTCATTTTCTTTCTTTTAAGTCCCTCAACTTTGGAGTTTTTAGCTATTAGGCCCCAAAATAATATTTCTCCCAAAATAAGTCCCCTAACTTAATTGATAAAATTCCCAAAATTTTGGGATATTACAATGCTTTTCTATCTTCCCACCCACCTATATATAAACTCTCACCTTTCTCTACACCAATATATTATATTCTCCTCTTTATTTCTTCAATTTCTTTTTATTAATATAGTGAGTTCCAAATATTTTTTTTTGTTTCCTATTTTATATTGTATCTAAATATAATATTATGTTTTTATTTTATGTCTTTTTTCATCTTAGTCCAAAATATGTATATTGTTGTATAAACTATTTTCCTTATTAGTTTTTTTTTTATGAATTTTTTTATAGAAGATATGATGATTGTTCCTGTCACACCCCAGAACCCAAATCCGGGGACGTGGCAGACGCCATATACTAGTGAGACGGATCCCACAAGTGCACAAGGCTCTGAACTTATTCAAATCACAATCTGATACCACAAAATCTCAAGATAAAATCTTTACAGTCTGCTCTGATATCAAAAATATCCACATACACTCTAACTCTTAAGATCACGATCTACATCTCAAATCTATATTCACTTTACAAGATGGCTAGCCTTCTAACTCGTCACTCCCCTTGGTTTTCCCCGTCCTCGATTTCGCTTCCTGAAATAGTGGACAAGGAAAACTATGAGATAACTCAGTAAGTAAATATGGATAGCCCTTGGGTAAAACTTTTAAGCATGCCAGATAAACCATATAAGCATAGCAGAACTTTCACTGATAAACCGTTAATGCGGAAATCAAATTCGATTCAATAGCAAAACGTTCAATGACAAAACCGTCAATGCAAAATCAGATTCAGTTCAATAACAAAACGTTTCCTGACAAACCGTTAATGCAGAAGAAAACTCAGTTCAGTAGTCTCATCTATAAGTCATGGCCAGTGTTATAACAACCCA